TATTTATTTACTGTTTAAAATAATAACATATTTTCACCATTATACCACCATTGAAAGATTCCAAAGAACAGAAAAAGGTGATGAAGAAGATATTAAACCTACCGTACAATTAATGATTTTAATTCTATACAAACTTCTCAAAATCAAGTGAAAACATTGGACCTTGTTCAACTAAGAGAATGAGCTCATTTCTGGAATGGATTTGGCACTACAGAGCATATACAAAGGATTCAGCATATTATTGAACATTGCAGTGAATACCAACTATCACTTTGCCTGACATTCATTGACTTTCAAACAGCTTTGACTCTGCTAAATTGAGTATTATAACTGAAGCTCTAAAGTTTAAGTGTGAAAGAATCCTAGATTAATTTATAGAAATGCTACAGCTACCACATACATAAATGAAAAGATTGCCACCTTTAATATATATAAGAAATTCAACATTTATCAAAAATGTTATTAGCAAGTTTGCAGACATATTCAAATAGCTGAACTGGTCCAAAGCAGTAATAAAGATCAACCAATTATGTTTGCCCAACATTGTTCTTTTCACCAACAATTTGGAAACCTTCAAAGATGAATAATCTTCAAAGATATATAAAAATGACAATAAGTTTTCAGACTTGAAAATGAACTTGAAGAAGAAACAAGTCATATTTATAAGTACCAGAAAAAGTCAACAGCTAAACCACACCTAACCTACATTACAAGATTACCATAGAGACTAATACCATTCTGAAAGTAATTTACAAATTATTAATCAAGTAAAAAATAAGAGTAATTGGGATTTCCTAGTGAATTTATTTTAATGCAATGCCAAGCAAAAAACAAAAATAATGAAAATAATAAAGGTAAATTAATAAACTTAATAAAATATGACCAACCAAAAGGTTATATTAAATACAACACCATCACAGAACACTGATAAAACGAAACTAATGGATAAATAATGCTGACCTTCATAAAAATTACTAGGACCTAGGAAGATTAAATATGATTTCACATTTACTGTCAAAAATATACCTAGTCTCTTTCCTTTAACAACTATCTGTGTAGTCAGATTATAGTCTAACTATTTTTAAAAAATATTTTTTATTAAATTATGTTGTAATACAATACACAGGATATTGGTTTGACAGTGATAATATATATACAGGTTGGATACATTCCTTTGTTATGGTGTCTCCTAATTTACCCACTTATTTTACTATTTACATATCTCTTATCCCTTCTTTATTTGATCTTCCATCCATTTATACCAAAGTCGCCACACCGTATAGTATTCTGATTCCTCTTTCTCGTTAATCTCATATGTTAGTTTGCTCATCTCGGCACATTCTAGGATTTTCCGAATTAAATGTTCTTCCAGTGGTATTCCCTTTTCTTTCCAGTGCTGTGCATATGTTAATCTAGCTGCCGTAATGATATGTATAATTAAGTATCTCTTTTTTTCTGGTACATCCTCTTTAGTACTCCCAGGAGAAAGGTTTTAGGTGCCAAATCTATATCTTCCTCAATTATTTCTTGGATTCAATTTCGGATCTTTTTCCAATACTTCATCGCTTCGGCGCACGTCCACCACATATGAAAGAAGGTACCCTGGTGGTAGTCGCGTTTCCAACAATTTGGGCTTGTGTTTGGGTAGATTTTGGCTAATCTTGTGGGGCTAAGTGCCATCTATATAGCATTTTGTATTGAAGAGGTGGTAAAAGAACAAATGATTGTGTGGGCAAAAAATATAGGACATAGTATAAATTTGGCTGATTGGCCATATTTGGAATAGAAACTACAAATTGACAGGAGCAGTAGCATTTAAAGAAAATCAATACAATATAGTCTAACCATTTATATAGTAATTATATATCTTATGAATGAGCAGTATGGTGAAAATGCTTGCCTCCCACTCAGAACTTGACAGTTCATTCCTAGATAGTGGAAGATGTTTCTCTCCTAGGACACACAGAAAACATATCTGCTGCAAACTCCATGTTGCATCAGGAAGGGCATTTAGCAATGCTCAGCTCCATCCAGTTGCCCTGACTCTACCTGATTAAAGGATAATAGGATTGTAAAAACTGAGTTTTATGTATGTTATGAATTGCCTGTGAAACAAACGAAACATCACCTTATAGTAAATCTGAAATTACTCTGTCTTCCAAAACTGAAAGATGAAGATGTCAGACAGCATTGACTGCCAAACTAAATGAACAGTTTTTTAAAAAAAAAGAAGAGTTAAAATAAAACTGCTTTGAGGGAATTGGAGTATGATAGGACAAATATCCTAAGGAAAGCATCTAAATCTAAAATAGTTGCTCATATGAAGCCTTTCCATAAACATTAACATTTATAATAGCTCCACTACCACTTTAACACCTAAGTCAAATATGATCATTGAGTCAAAGATGAAAGTGAAAAAATTGGAATGCACCTACAAAAAAACAAAGATAATGACAACTGCAGAGAACACACAGGTCAGGGTGCAGATCAACAATGAGACCATTGAAACAATACAGGAATTCAACTTCCTTGATTCTAAAATTGACCAATGGGGTGACTGCAGCATTGAGATCAGAAGGCACATAACATTTGGAGGTACTGTAATGTCTGGCATCAATAACATCTGGAAGAATAAAGATATCAGCTCCCAACCAAATACAGATTAGACAACAATAATCCAATTGCTAATTATGTCTGTGAAACTTAGACTCCGAAAAAGGCAGATAGGAGAAGGGTGGGCATCTTAAAATTGTGGTGCTGGACACAACTATTATGCAACTCATTGACTGCAAAAATCACAAAGAAAGAAGTCCTAGACAAAGACCTAGACTAAAAATATAACTCAAAGCTATATAGGATGACACTATAAAGGATGACACAGGGATGATAATGGAGTATCTGAAGGAAGCAGTATGAAACAGAGGGATATGGAAAGTGCTGATCCATAGAGTGGCAAAGGGCCAGATACAATTGAATGGCTAGCAGTGAAACATTGGTCAAATGTTGAATGTCCCACCTTCCCATGGACACACACACACATACAAACAGACTCTATTACCTTTGCATTCTATCCAAAGATACATTAACATAAATAATTGTGCATTGCCTATTAAGGCATAACTTAGCAAATATATGTACAGTTGAAAATGTCTATCTGTTTAACATATTATTATGAAAACAATGATTGCATGTTGACCACTGAATATAGAGAGATAGGCCAAATTGTTTTTTATTTAAAAGGGCTGGCAAAACTGCAGCTTCCTGTGCATATTTTTCTTTTAAACTTTAATGATAAATAAAATCTTCACATAATGCTTTTCTGGATCACATTTTCTAAATGTGAGCTTTAAGTTCTGCTTCAGGTATAGGAGATCCGATAGTGCAAAGTTCCAAAATAATTTCTCATTAAAGCTTATTGTAAAATTAGTTTGGAAACAATTTTTATCAGGATTATGCTGAATTTTTACATGCCAACTACAGTCCTTTAGTAAAAAAAAAAAATGAATTACTTGCCAAAATGCTATAAGATTATTTAAATCAGTGAATTACAATAATAATCAAATATTATTCCAATTTTTTAAAAGAGTTTTCTAAAAAAATATGTTTGGAAGGAATAAAGGCAAGTAGGTGAAGAAGTTTCACAAAATAATTTAACAGCTTCAATGCAATCTCCATTGAAGCAATATGCAATTTATTGCATATTGACTACACTTAGCAGCATAAAGATTGTGTAAAAGACTTTGAAGTGACCTGGAAATGTGCTGAAACACCAGAACATTTTTGACAGAGGTTCTGATTGTACATTTATATAGAAGTATTTATATGATTAAATAAATGTTGCCTTGGTTAGGTTTCATTGGTTTGTGTGAGTGCCATCCACAAAATCCCAAACCTTCTGTTATTTTTGTCAACCAATTTTTCATTAGATAAAATGCATTAGAAATTTATTTCAAATGATAAGGAAATTGTAATGAAATAATTATGGACACTGTGGTTTTTATATTTACCTATCTAGTTAGTAGATTTTAGTATGGATGCTTCGTATCTCATCATACTATTATTCAGTGATGAAATCCACTGCAGATTGCCATTGGTTTGCTGAGTGTACATGCGCAGTGTGCACCAAAAGCACGCTGCGTGCACATGCACATTGCACACCAAAAGCATGCTGTCGCTTATTCACAATGCACACAAAACTTGTGCTTCGTGCGGAAAAGGAGGCTTGGGAAGATAAGTAGAACAGCGAGTGGGGGGAACAGCTGTGCTGTGCAATTTAGCTTTGCTAGAAAGCAGGAGTTCCTACTTTCTAGTGAATATAAACTGCGCAGCACAGCTGATCGTCGAAAATACCGGTTCAGACAAACCAGTTAACTACCAGTTCGCCCGAACCAGTGTGAACTGGTAGCATTTCACCCCAGCTATTATTTCTTAATTAATCTGCATTCTCTATGGCTCCCACATTTTTCTAACATATTATAAAATAAGGATATCTTTTAAGATAAAGTCAAGCAGAAACAGATATCATAAAATCCATTTTTTAAAAAAATAGATTATGTCAAAGCAATAAAGAAATGAAGAAGAAATGTCTGTCAATGTGCAGAGTAGTTTCAAAGTGATGAAAGATGTAAATAAAAAAGCAACATCAACAGTAATTTCTCATGTCAATTCCAATAATAAAAATCAAAATGCAAACAATGAAATGTGAACAAAATTCTCAAATATCCTGTGGGTAAGATAGAAAACAGCCATTTTGTATAAATAAAAGTGTAATTCAAGCATAATATTAAGTCCTGCACAGAAAATAATCGAAGGAAGAGTATTCTCTTTAATCCAAATTATTCTGTTTCCTGCAGCCTGGGAAGGCAGGATTTTCATACTTATATATGAAAATTTCACACATAAAATGTTTTTATCTAACTGAAATTATATTTGAATATAATCGAATACACTTTGAATAAATACAATATTGATTATTATAGGAATTGTATACATTAATTTACCTTGTCACCCTCAGAAAAAGTTATTCCATCAACAGCTCTTTTCCAAGTAATTTCTGGAACTGGTTCTCCTTCTGCTTCACATATCAGAGTGGCTTGACCATTTTCAAAGGTGGTTTCATTTTTAAGTTGTATTATTTGAGGCTGTACTGTTAGAAATATAAATTATATTACTTGTTCTTGGTATCAAAGGCTACATACAACACCTTCTTGATATACATGTTTATTTTACTCCTAATGTTTATTTACATTGAAACATTATTCTTCTTTTGGTAGAGGGTTTTCTAGCTGAGAAAGTTAAATATTGAAATACATGTTGCCTATTTTCAATATACATGTGTAAACTAAATTTAGTTTATTTATTTATTTTATTTTATTTATATACCGCCCTTCTCCCATAGGACTCAGGGCGGTGAACAGCCATAATAAAAACAATGTACAAAATAGAATTTAAAAGCAGATTAAAATAATTAAGTCATAGGCCGAATTTAAAACTCTCATTTTAAAACCAATTTTAAAACCCCATTAAAACTAAATTAAAATCATTTATCCCATCAGAGCGGCTTGCTGGAATAACAGGGTCTTCACTGCACAACAGAAGGTACGGAGGTCGGGGATCCTTCGTATGTCCGGGGATAATTCATTCCAGAGGGTTTACATACACTTAATGAAAATAACATTGATTGTATAAAATAATAGCTATATTCAATCTCCCTTGCTCTTCTTTGTTCTTGTCTTTCTCACCACATTACGATCCTTTATAGATTAGACTGGACATTATAAAGCTTACTCCTGCAGATGCAAGATATGTCGTGTTTTTCTTCTTCTCTGTTCTCCAGTTCCTTTGGTGTGCTCCACAATTTATGTCTAACCCTTGTAAATATCCAGCAGCTGCTTTTATGAAAGTGAACTATTTAGTAGCTAATGTTGTCACAATATTTTTATTTTTTAACTTTTCTTATGAATTCACTAATGAGGGGTCCTTGGTGCTCTCTGAGCTTGGTTCTTTTCTTTTTAATCTTTTTATATTTAATCTTTTCAGGTTCATAGAGCATCAAGGACTCTTCATTTCAACCCTGAACTACAATTGTTCTCCTTTATTGGAATTCACTAATATTTCAAAAAATAGCAAAATGACTATTTTAAAGCTACTGCTTTAAAATTTTCCAGATTGAATGGATAAGAAACTATAGAGATAAGCAGAAATAACCTTATAAAAATATGTAGGAACAATTAAGGGAAAATAAATGAATTTCTGGGAAAGAGGAAGAATCTAATTACATTGATTCCTTTTGGTATAAGAAGGCAGAGAACCCTTATACAAATAGAGAGGACTGAAATATTTTTAAAGTCCTGGGAAACAATAGAACTATTTTTTAAAAGTATCAATGTGACATGAATATCATCTGGTCATGTTTATCCTATATTTTCCATTTGAATAATTTTTTCTCAGACTGTAAAAAACAACTGGCTGGGTTTTTGCAAATGGGACATCATAGATTTCCTTGTTTCTTTTTTTTTCTTTCTTTCTTTTTTTTTTTTTTAGACTTCCTCCTCTATATAAAAGAATAGAATTTTGATATGGGCAGAGGTAGATTGTACAGAGGAACTTATAATTTCTCAGTATACTTCCATCATTATGTGTAAGGCAGCAGTGAGTTTTATTATATTTTTTTTAAAAAAATAATCAAACTTTTAATTTGTACTAAAATGAAAAAATATTTTTCCTAACACTTTTTCTGTAACCTTCTTCTGTAAAGGTCTGATTTAAAAAACAGCAAGTTTAGTAACAGCAAGGGATCAGATGGCTTTCCTAACTAAGAAAGTGAAGGACCTCTGAATTTATTTCAGAGTCAATTAAACATTTCTAAGAATTTTACATACAATACATTTGAACTGAAGTTCAAAGATAGCCCAACCAAACAATACTTACCAAAAACTTGCATGAAAGTCTGATTTGTCACTCTTCCTGCTTTATTTCTTGCTTCACAAATATATGGACCAGAATCAATGTTTTTTATGTCTTTTACGGTTAGTTCCATATTCCTGCCTCTTAATGTATATTTATCACTTTCCTCAATACGTTTGCCCTTTCTATAACGACATATAGATACAATGTTTTCTTTATAAGCTAAATGAACACTAAAATTCCAATTTTATTACAACTATGTAAGAAATTTATTACAACTGGTAAGAAGAAAAGTACAAGTTTTTGATCACTATAGAAAATTATAAATTTTAACTTTTCATTTGCATGTGAAGATTCATTTTAATACTCTAGTATGTAATCAAATAAGAACATATAAATTAATTTATATGAAGAGCCTGGTGGCGCAGCAGACAAATAGCCTGTTATTAACATTCAGCTGCCTGCAATTACTGCAAGTTCAAATCTCCCCAGGCTCAAGGTTGACTCAGCCTTCCATCCTTTCTAAGGTAGGTAAATTGAGGACCCAGTTTGTGGGGGCAATAAGCTGACTTTGTATAAATATACAAAAGTATGAAGGCTATTGCTTAACGCATTGTAAGCCGCCCTGAGTCTCCGGAGAAGGGCGGCATATAAATCAAATTAAAAAAAAAAATTGTATGGTGATGCAGCAATGTTACTAATTCAAATAAATTACATTTAACATATTTGACATTCTACAATTATGAGATTTCAAATTCCATTTGCTTTATTAAAGTTACAAAAGGACATGATAATTGGGCATAACAATCATGTAACTTAACTATCATTCATTATAGTATTTATAATTTATTCATGTCATGAAGAATATATATTTTCCTTATAATTATGAAAAAGGGAAGCAAACTTGAAAACAAATATTTCTGAATTGATTATGAATATTACCATTTTGATTACTGATACTTTATATAAAGAAAGATTTATATTTCAAAATATGTAAATCATGTAATTTCATGTATATATTATTGAGGATTTATGATGCAATAAGAATGCTGTCAGTAGAAGTTGCAGAAATTCTTTAGAGATATAAATGACTGAAGAAAAATATCAACAATGAAACAAGAAAGAATTAATATTTTACATTTATTTTACTACTAGGAAAATGTTTTTATTATCATAAATAATTTCAAATTATATCTTGTTTTACAGGCTACTATTTTAATTTAATATGATAAATGTGTTACTTCTATCCACAAATGTTATTTGCATATAAGAATAGATTTCTGAAGCTACCTGTAAATAAATGAATTTGCAGTAATCAATAACCACCATGTTGTAAGAACAAAAATATTAACCAGCAACCTATAATAAAGGAGTATGTTAAGTATATTTTGCAGAGGAAGCAGCAAGTGGTTTCTCTTATGAGTCTCAGAATATTTCTCCAAAGAAATAATTAGATTATTTTCTGTAATATATTTCTAAGGCTATATAGATTCAATTTCATGTAAACATATGATTCAAAATAATTTTAATAATATAGATTTCCCAAGTTATTTCCTATATTATACTGTGTAATTGTTCAAATGTAGAACATATTTTAGTGAAATTTCCTTTCTGCACTGTAAAAATTCTGTTTTGATATAAAAATAGCAATTGTTATTATCTTTAATATTATAAACTGTGGTATCATAATATGATTAAAAAGAAGAATCCTGGAATAGTTTCTGGGAGCACTTGTTTCAACTTTGAGTCTTTCTTCAGCATGACACATCATATATTATGCTAGTATATTCATAATATAAGTAAACTGACATTTTTCATTTTGCATCCTTTTGGTGTGCTTACAGCACTTAGCCGGTATCATGGTAATTTAATGTCTTAAACAGAACCTGTTTCAAAATAAAATATTTAGGAAAGTCATCCATTCAGAACTGAGTTCAGGTTGGGAACAAAAACTTGCTCAATCAGCATACTTTTTTTTTAAAAAAAAAATCCATATTGACTGAAAAATTCCCCTAATTCAGGGCTGAAATCCATCAGGTTCTGATAGGTTCTGGAGAACCAGTAACAGAAATTTTGAGTAGTTCGGAAAACTGGCAAATACCACCTCTGGCTGGCCACAGAGTGGGGTGGGAATGGAGATTTTGCAGTATCCTTCCCCTACCACACCCACCAAGCACGCCCACAGCACTAGTAGTAAAAAAATTTGGATTTCACCACTGCCCTAATTAGTTATTTCTTATTTAGTAATTCCAAAACCCATTTTATTTTAAAAATCTCTGCTTGTGAAACTTACCTGTACCAGTTGATTTCGGGTTCAGGAGAACCACTAGCTTTACAGAACAAAGTAACTGCCTCTCCACGATCTGCTGTAGCATTAAAGGACTTCTGAAGCAAAGTAATGGTTGGAGGAACTGGACAAACATAAAGCATTCAGTTTTTACAATACAGACAATTTTTTTAGACATTGAAAGCAAATTTCTTTTTTCTCTCAAATCATATCAGACAGAAAGGATCAGACAAGATTCAGTTGGTTTTATTTATTGCTCAAACCTATATACAAAAATCTAGTAAACAAAAGTTCAATGCTAAATTGGCACCAGATAAGAGTTAACGGAATTCAAGGGGTATGTGGCAATGTAACAACTTTTAGCTAATGATATGCTTAATTCTGCACCCCAGTTCTGCCTGCTCTTCTACAAATTATCTGTCTATAATTGTTTCAACATGGAATCTGAAACATTGCGGAAGAGAAATAAAGATGTATCATTTATATTCTTGAAAACTTTTGACTATATTTTGTTTCACTGATATCAAAATAAAGCAAATTAGCAGCTAATGGTCTTGTTTTCAGTCTTATTTAGCTGAGCATTTCTAATACAACTAATGTTCCTAGAAAACATAAGCATAAATATTATTTTTCATAAAAAATAATTTTGAAGACATGTAAGTTGAAATTTATAATACATTAGTTAGCAATATTTTGTAACAGTTTTAAATATGAAGGTCAAAATGTTCTTTTCTGAACTGGTTTATTTTATAGATTTTCTCCATTTTTGAGGCTGGGTTAGTACTCAAAATCCTTATAGTAATTATTATTTGAAAAAAAATAAATGTCATATCTGTGTGCAATTCATTTTTTAAAAAATAACTCTAATATTGCCTTCTTAAGACTATTAAAACTTAAATCAAGGATTAGCAATCCTTCAGAAGTAGATGAATTTTCTCTCTTTCTCTGTGTCTCTCTGTCTCTCTCTCTCTCTCCTACACGTGCACGCAACTTCCAACAATGTTGAATCATTGGTATGATTCACAAAACTGGGGGCATATGTTCCTACAAATTCCTATCCCAGTGTTTGGAGGCTATTGGGGACTGGATGAAACAAGTCAACTCAACCCAACTCAACCCTAGCAAGATGGACTGGCTGTGATTATTTGAACCTTTCAGACATAAGGTTCTTCCATCTTTAGTTCTGGATGGGATTCCACTACCTCAGACAGACCCAGTGTTCTGACTTAGGCTCCACCAAATCACGAAACAGACTCCTTGTCCAGAAAAAAAAACCCTCTTTATTTGGCTAATGTGAATTCCTAGCATTCACATCCAACAAATACATCTAAAGAGTATTAAGTTTCAACTGGTGAAAAACGTGGCTACCAAGTAGTAAATTGCATTAGATATATGGCACCTGTAACATCACTTCTGCATGAGCTGTATTGCTTACTGGTATATTTCTCTCTCTTTCTCTCTGGTATATTTCTCTCTCTCTCTCTCTCTCTCTCTCTCTCTCTCTCTCTCTCTCTCTCTCTCTGTGTGTGTGTGTGTGTGTGTGTGTGTGTGTGTGTGTGTGTGTGAGAGAGAGAGAGAGAGAGAGAGAGAGAGCAATTAAAGGTGCTGATTGTCATCTTTAAAGGCTTTCATGGCTTGGGAATAGATTACCAAAGGATCAACTTTTTCCAACAGTTTCTACACATCCAACTCAACCTAGTTATACTATAGATCTCATCAGTCGAAGAATGTTGGTTGCCAGGGGCTAGAAGATGGGCGGGTTTTTTTGCAGTGGTTCCTGTTCTATGGAACATTATCCCTCCAAAGAATAGAATGCCCCAAACCTCTTAGCCTCTTGTAATGTAATGTAAACCTTGCTATATTCCTGAGACTGAATGGGGCTGAGGTGTTGAATCTGGCAAGGGCTTAATTTCCTGGCTTTACTGCTAACTGGCCAAGTATCTCTGCTGCTATGTATATTTATTTTTGATGTTTTTATTATTTTAAAATTTTAAAAATTTTAAATAAATTTTAAAATTTATTTAAAAATTTAAAAATATTTTAGTTGTAATTTAATATATATATATATATATATATCTTTTGATTCATAGGTATAAATGTGCGATATTTTTGCAATCAGGGTTTTTTCCTATGTTGAAAGATGTTAAAATGGCCATGGTGGGATGAAATCTGTATTCATCACTTTCAGACCTGTCAGAAATTTTATGTTGTTTCTTCTGTGACTTATGGGAGACTGGGATAGCACTATTTCGGCCTTTTTAGGCCTCTTCAGCCAGACACACCCATATTTTGTGACTCCTCCCTGTAGAGGTCAAATATTTATTTCTTTTGATTATATATTATATATATATTTGTTTTCTCAGGTTTTCGCGGGTGTTTGTATGTAGGTCTTTGGTTATTCGGGTCTTCTCCCACGTAAAATTGGAAGTGTCTTGGCGACGTTTCGACGAAATCTCATTCGTCATCTTCAGGCTGGTGTTCTCGGCTTCGTGCTTCCAGGAGCAATGTGAGATTGCAGCTGTCTCTTCCTTTTAACTGCTAGTGGGGGTGTGAGCTGATTGGGTGGGAACTTGGCTGTGTTCTGATTGGGCGGAGGTGTGTTCTGATTGGTTAGGGGCTTGGCTGTGCTCTGATTGGATGGGGGGTTGGTTGTGCTCTGATTGG